TAAGTTCCCCTTGTCACACAGCCTTCCTTATCAAGGGGACCAGGCACAGTTCCTGCTTATCACTGAGTCGTAGCTTTCAGATCCCTGCCAGATCGTGGAATTATTCAAATGAGCCAATCACATCCTCGCCCAGGAGCCAGGGGCCACCCTGCCCTTTCAATACTACGAGGCCTGCCCCGCACAGCCCCGGCTTTTTCACTCTGTTCTGCAGTGCCATGCCCGAGGGGCCTGCTGTTATATGCAGTGTCCTCCTCACCTGGGCTGTGAGTGTATGTGATCAACAAAGGGCTGTCAATCATATCTTCCCGGTGTCAGGTGTTGTGTATTGGGCCATCCCCATGGCCCGAGGGCAGGAATCCCCCCTTCGCCAGGGAGGTGAATAGGACGTGATTACAGCACATTCACTCTGTCCCCAGCCATGCCTGACAGCTGTCATGGTAGTAGGCTCAGTGGAGAGTGGAACTGCTGTCTCAGTTTAACTCAGTTAAACCTTTGAGCTGTTCAAACAAAGTGCCCCTTGGGTTGGGAAGGAGGGCATTTTTCAGGCTCCACCTTCGTGCTCTTACCTCTTAGGTCATTCTCTGCTCCTTCCTTTGACCCAAGGTACCAGCTCCTTATTAGCATCCCTGGTAATCCACAAGTCCTCCTCTTTTCGCCTTGGAGACACTGATAAAATCAGACCCCCAGTGGCCCCCTGGGTGTGCCAACATTCCCAGAATTCAGACGCTTCCTTTCTGTATGAATGAATGAATGACTGAATGACTGAGCTAGAGGGAGAATTGACTCTGTGTAATAAGGGCATTTGGCTTGATATTCCCTAGGGCTATTTATTAGTTAAGGTTAAAGGCACAGCTGCTATAAACAAAAGACCCCGAATAACATGGCTTAAAGAACAAAGAAGTTATTTGTCTCTCACACAGTAGTCAGAGGTGACATTCGAGGTCAGCAGGTAGCTCTGCTCCACACACTTATTCAGGAGCCCAGGCTGGTTAGGCCTTTGCCATCTTCATGTGGCTTCCAAGGTCACTTGGGTTATTGCCACCCAGCCAGTAGGAGGGGGGAAATGTACGAATCCAGGGCCATCAGGGCCATAGATCCTTCGTAAACGAGTGAGACAGAAATGGCACACATCATGCTCACTCGTATTCCATCACTGGAATGGGCACATGGCCATCCCTAGCCGGGAAATGCAGCCCCTGGCCGGATGGCCAAGTCCCAACCACACAACTATGCGACAAAGGGAGAGTGGACTTGGGTGGACAGCTAGCAGTGTCCCCTCTGCAAGGAGCTGTAGATGAAGGGACAGAGGACTCGGAGGCAGAAGGCACTGGTTCAAGTGCTGGCTGCCCCCTTGCTAGCTGTGTGCTCTTGGGCAAACGCTTTTCTGCTCTGAGCTTCACCTTCTCCATCTGAGGAATCAGGACCACAGCCCTTTTACCTCACTGAGTTGTCCTGAGGATCAAAATGAGATGACATGGAAACTCTAAATTGCTGATGTCTTTGGCCCCTTCTGACCTTAACATTATGTGCCCTGATGGCAGAGGGTTCTTGCCTTGATATCCGGGTTGCCTGCAGTGCTCATCTTCACAAAACCGGCTGTTTATTGGGAACCAGAGAATCACCGGGGACTGAGGTCGGGGGTAACCTCTAGTGCTCAGGGCTCTGCATCCAGCAGATCAGCAGACCCCCCCCTGGGAGTGCCAACCTCAGTTTTAGGAATTCCTTTCCTCTTCCGGTGAGAAAATGGAAAGGGCTCAGATTTGAATAGACGGAGTGGAGCAAAAGCGGAGTTGGACAGGCAAGTCTTAGAGCTGGGGCTTCCAACCTCAGGCCCACAGACCTTTGGAGGGAATTTATGTCTGGACATCGGGGCTGTGGACTCCTCGGAAGTGCAATGCAACAGTTTATGGTGTGGTGCGCGTCCTCCAGGGGAGAAACTCCATAAAGTTACCACAATCTCAAAGGGGGTCCTTGATGCAGGAAGGCCGAGAGCCTTGTGAACGATAGACAGTCTCAATCAATAGCCTATAAAAAGGACAACGACCAACTGGTGTATGTTTAGAGAGGGCGGCTCAGAAGCTGAGGGGATGGGGAGCACGTTTTTATGAGAAGGACATGTGGAGAGAAATTGGGCTGTTTGGTTTGGAGGTGAGAGGTTGGGGCATTGGGGTGGGAACGTGGTCATCAGATTTCTGTGGGGCAGAGGAGCTCTGCCCACATTCCCTATGCTCGAGGCCCTTGGGCGTGCTGATGGCTCTCTGTGGCAGGTTCCCGCAACTCTGCCTGAGGGTTTTCTCTGGCTGCAGAGGCTCGCTGGCGCATGGGCACATTGAAATGCTGGGCAATTTACACCCCGGGGAGCAACACTCAACCAGTGATGTATGGAAATTGGTGGGTAGAACCCCAGCTCCCTTACCCCGTGGGTGGGATAACTCTAAGGTATATAGGTATGTTCTGTCTCACAACCAGACAATAGAAATATAATGTGAGCCATGAATGTGAGCCCCATATGAAGGTAAAAAGAAACAGGTGAAGTCAACTTTGATACCGTATTTTAACCCAATATATCAAAATATTGTCATTTTAATCTGTAATCCATATAAAAATCATTAATGAGACAGTTTACTTGTTTTAAATTCGAAGTCTTCAAAATACAGGATATATTCTGCGCTTATTCTACATCTCAATTTGGATGAGTCACAGTGTAAGCACTCAGTATTCCCAGGGGGCTGGTGGCTGCTGAGTTGGTCAGCACAGCTCTATGTCATCTCGCAGAGGCTCCCCAGAAGGATTACGCTACACTTGCTCACAGTGTAACATGCTCATTAATGCCCCCCTCATCCCCATATTAGCTTTCTTCCTTCCTTGGTCTCAATTCCTCATTCCCCAACTAGAGATTCTTAAAAACACCTCCCAAGATCAGGGTCTGTTTTTGGGGATCCCTTCCTAAGACAGGCAGTCAAGACCAAGGGTGCGCTAGAGGGTTGCAGTAGGACCAATGGGTAAAAGTATCAGGTGAGTTTTTGGAGCAGCACCAGAGCCATTCATTCATTCATTCATTCATTCATTCATTCAAACATATGTGTTGAGCTCTTGCCATGTGCCCTGCACTGCTGGCTGCTGAAAAGGGGAACGGGTATGAAACTCCCCGTCACCAGCGAGGCCCCGGAAGAGGCAGACTGAATTCTTGATGGGGCAGCTCCACACGGATTTCATGAGCCGGACCAGGATTTTGATCCCGTGCTGTCTGGCATCCCTTCCAGCCTATAGATGCTGCCTTCCGTGACTCATCTGTGCCTCCGTGGAAGCTTCTCGCCTTGTTAATTGCCTGTCTTCCATGGCACGTTTCTCCCGAAAGCTGCAAATCAAGGTTTTTGTGACATTTCTTCTCCAGCAGTGACTTGTGATTAGGTTGTTGTTCCTAAAAATGGTCCGTCCCTCATCATCTTTGCAATTTCCCTTTGATTTTCTTGTTTGGCAAATTGCGGTTCTCCAGATAAAGACCGGTTTGGCGTCTGCTCGCTTGCCCCGCTCATTACTCAGCCTGAAAACACACCTAGGACTCCTGTTGCTGAAAGAGACCTTAGAAATCATCTGGCTCAGTGCCTTCCTTTCAGAGAGATGGGGAAGCTGAGGGCTGGAAGGGGACGTTGCTAGCCCCGAGTCACATGGTAGAACAACGGCTCAGCTGACCTGGGAAGGAAGTGAGTGGGATCTCCATAATCTCTCTCCCCAGCTCTTTGCCTCAGCCTGTCCGAGCTCCAACCCATGGAACTGACCCAGCCCAGGTCAACACTATACTGTCTGCGCATGTCACATGCCCCAGGAAGGGAGTGCTCTTCTCATGATGGGCGAGACTTTTTTTTAATCTTTGAATTACCCTGAGGCTTTTGGGGGTGATGACACAGTGCTTAGGGCCTGAATCAGGGTTCCAGCTCCTCCTCTGATGGCTGTGGAGCTCTAAATGGGTCTCCTGGCCTCTCTGAGCATCAGCTTCTACTTCTGCGAAGTGGGAACGGTGACCACAATAACCATCACATCAGTTTACTCTGGTGGGAAAGGACATATTTGTCCTCGTCTCAGCCTGGCTTCTGCTGAGCGGACCTCCTTCCACTCCGTGCTGCCCTTTGGTCTCAGCACCTGAGCCTCTCAGACGTTTTCTCAGCTCCTCAGATATGCTAGGGTGTTCCTGCCCCTGGGCCTGTGTCTGTACTGTTCCCTCTGCCAACAATGCCCTTTGCACCACCTTCACATTGATGCTCGCCCACTCAATGCCTGGTCGTCCTTCAGATCTTAACTCCGAGAAGGTCAGAGAAGCCTTCCTGGGCCCCCGGAGGAGTCCAGGCTCCCTCTTCCTGCACCTCTTTTCCAATGACTCTATCTCAGTGTTTCATTACCTTCTCACTGGTGCGATCATCTGGTTTTGTCTGCTTCATGCACTAGGCTGCCTAGAAGCTCCGTGAGGATAAGCTCACTGGTTCTCTCAGCTCTAAGCCCAGGGCCTACCTAGCAGGTGGGAGCTGCACCAGAACTATTTTGCTGAGGTTGAATGTTAGTTCTTCTTGAAATACAATTGTTCCCCTAATCCTTGCAGTCACCTAGTAAGGAGGTGTTATGATCGCATCTTGTGGCAGAGAGAGCATTGCTCACCAAATTCTTCATTTGTTTTCTTATACCTCCTTGGCTCCCGTGGAGTTGGCGGGGCCAGGTGACTGCTTCTGGCCAATAAAACGGGAGTAGGAGTCCTGTGTGTCACTCCTGAGGTAGTTGAAAGCCCACCCTAATTTAGCTCTTCCCTTGCTACATGAATATGGAGACCGTATGTTCCAGGTGGTGCAGCTGGAAGATGGTGGTGACGGTGGAGAGCAGAGCCCATCACAGGCTCACTGTGGGTATTTTCTATGAGCAAGAAATAAATGTCTGTGGTGGAGAGATGTCAATTTTGAGCTTGTTTGTTGTATAGCTTAGTTTATCCTGACTAATACAACCCCATTTTGCAGGTAAGAAAACAGCCCCAGAGAAGGAAATTGACATGCTCCAGGTCACATGGAGTTACGGTCGGAGGTGGGATTCTGCTCCTGTTGTTCTCTTGGAGTTGTGAGAACATAGGTAAAAATCCATTGAAAACCATAGACTGCTGTGTAAAAGATAACATTTCTAAGGTGTTTCCCCAAAGGTCTGACCTAGGGCTTCTGTGCTCCACATTGCAGGGTTGAGGAAGGATGCAGAGATGCCGCCATGGACCTGCTGGCCCGGAGGACCCTGTCCCACCTTCTGAGTCTCGGCTTTTTGCTTCATGGGGACCAGCGGGAGGCAGTTGGTGACTATAGCTACTAAGGGTGAACGTCGGCCTGTTTTTCCCCTTCCTGGGGCTCTTTTATTCTGAATGCCACAGAATCTGAGTTTTTTGGGTCAGATCATTCAACTGTTTACTGGCCATTAATAGCCCCTAGACCACAGGCTAGGCCAGTGGTCCCCTAGTCTATGTGAGTATACGTTCTTCATTCCTGAACCACATTGGAGGTGAGTCAGACCGCCCAAACTAGATCTCACGTTTCCAGCCCTCTTATCTTCCTTTCCCATCCCGGCCTCCCTCCCAGCTCTCAGAACAGAGATGCCAGTCCAACCAAGAGCTTCTCAAAAGGAGCGAGGTGCATTTCGGGCCGAGAAGATAGCTTGAGCAGAGCCATGGAGATATCAGAGAACTTGGTGTTAACAGGGGCAGCACTGACGAATGAGTCTTTTTAACTTTGTCCCTGATTCTATGGGGGAGAATTCTAGCTTATTTGGTCAACTCTTGAATTCACCTCCCTTGTACAGAGTCCAGATAAAGTCTGAAGCAGAGAGAAAGCACTGTAACGCTGTACAAGGTTAAGCGGACCCACCTAATGAAGCACTAAAGTGGGAATGTGTGGAAGGAAGAGCAATCGAAAAGCCAGCGGCCCGGAGGCTGAGAGTGAGGGAAGGACAGAGAGGGAGTCTGGGGTAAGTGCTATGTGCGGGACACTGAAAGCAGCAGTGACAGGGGAGGTTTTAATGAGGTTTGTTGGGTATTCAGAATACACTTCTCTCTTTGAAATCCTTTGAGAGGGTTAAGTAAGTACTTTAAATTCCTTTTCGGTGGCTGGACTCTTTTTTTCAGTGTAACGCTGTGTTGAGACTGGACCATGTGGTCCACATCCAGGCTTGGGTTACGTGATGTTTGGGATTGAACTGCTCAGCAGTCAGTATCAGCATCATTGGGGGTCATCAGGGCAGAGAATACCCATTTGTGAGGCCGCAGAGGCTGACGAGCGTCTTCAGAGCAGCGCGAAACCTGTTCACACTCCCTGGGTCACCCGGTCCTGGTGCTGCTGTGTTCTTCACCGAGTGAGTGTGTGGGAGTAAGAGTCATAATATTTGCTCGTGTTTACCGTGCACTTTCCACACGCCTGGAAGAGCTCTAACAGCTTTACCTACATTATCTCAGTAATCCTCACAGCTACCCAGTGAAGTAGGTATTATTATTACCTTCATTTTATAGGTGAAAGAATTGAGGCATGGAGAGGTTAAATGATTTGCCCAAGGTTACTCGTCTTGGAAGTGGTGGAGCCTGTATTTGAATCCGGGTAGTCTGACTTTTCATAAGTACCATAAGGATCAAAGCAATTATTTTCAAAGGGGGAATGATTTTGGAAGTCTCTGTAAGATTTTTCTTGTCCTTTCTTCTTTTTCTTTCTCTTCCCTCCCCTCCCTCTTTTGTGAGGCTCTCGCCATCACATTATGTGCATTTATTGGATTTATACTACGGTTTACAGAGGCAATAGTTTTAAAGAAAATTGGCTTCCTTTTCAAAATGTCATGTTTCTCATTTTCTCTCAGCATCTTTGGCTTTTGTCAAGCTCCCCTCAGCTCCTAAGTCATTCAGAAGCATGCTTCACAATTAGAATGCTAGAAACTCTCAACCAGCCAATTTGAGTTTTGTGATTTGTTTAAAAGGACACTTAAAATAAACCCAGGAGTTGATTGTGAGGGAGAGGAATGAGTGGGAGCTGGAAGGTAGAGGAAGAGAAGCAGGTGTGAGGTAGCTGAGTGTCCACAGGGATGAGGGGCTCCATTCCTCCATCCACCCACAAATGACCCAAGCATCCGTTTATGTGCACTTCCAAAGGTACTGACATCCGCAGTCATCCCTCTATCCATCATCCATCCAGTCATCCACACAAATCCTTGCACATCATCCATCCGTCCGTCCATCCATCCATCCATCATTCATCCATCTATCAACCATCCGTCCATCCATCCATCCATCCATCCATCCATCCATCCATCCATCATTCATCCATCTATCAACCATCCATCCATCCATCCATCCATCCATCCATCCATCCATCCATCCATCTTAGCTTTTGGTTCTTTCTCTAGCACCTCAATGGAGTGGTGCCCATACTATATCTTAGGAATCAGTCTAGAATGGCTGATTTATTACCATTTATTGATATTACCATATCTTCCATTTGTCTAGAAATGTCTCGGAGAGTTTATAAACACCAGTATCTATAGAAATCCAATATTCCCAACAACCCTAAAGAAGTAAGGCTCAGAAAAGTTAAATGTTTCCTCCCCGCCCCAAGATCACATGGCTAATGAAAAGCAACATAGGAACAGAGAAGGTGGGGCAGGGGGGAGTTGGGAACTGGCACAGGGTTTACCTCTGACATGACATCAGTTCTGGGAGAAGTGACCTAGAGAAGATGGGGACACAAGGAGTCCAGCCAAGTGAGGTGAGCACTGGTGGCCAGAGCTATGCAAGTCAGCTATTGCTGCATATTCTCACTCTTATCACTCAGGAAATTTCAAAGCCTTGCAGGTTATCTTCCAGGAGCTGGGAACAAAGGCCAGACCTTCTTTTGGGCAAGGCCAAATTCTTCACTACACAGAATTAAAGTTTGAGAAGTGCCGCTTCCGAAGATGGCTGGAAGAGAGGTGGAAACTTGTCACTTTCACCCTCAGCTGCCTCTTCCCCTTGGTGAGCTCAGAACAGCGGGGCACGTTAATAAACTCTCCATCCATGTGTTCCCTTCTTCTTTTTCTCCTTCTCCAAAGCAGAGTTCCTAGCATTTTTCTTCTGCACAGACCCCTCCCATCAGCCTAGTGAGGCCTATGGACCTCTGCTCAGCATAAAGTTTTCAAATGTATAGCAAATATAAAGGATTCCAAATTACATTGAAATATACGAGTAGTTAACCGAATGTTAAGAAAACAATTTTGTGATATTATGATAAATGTATTTCTTTATTAACACTTTAACTGTCAGCCTAGTGGAGGGTCTTATAAATGCTGTGATTTCGAAGTAGTATTGAATAGAAACATTTCAAAATATCTGAAACATATAGCAACTGTTAGGTGATAGCCATGGATTTTACCGGTGAAAGCCCAGGTCCCACTAATACTTCTATAGGTTGTTGTCTGTATTCATGAGGGAAGAAAATGCTAAATTTCAGTCAGAGATTAGTGAAAAGATGATGTAACTTTTTTCCTGCCCAAGTTCATAGATCATTGAATTCTATCCAGCTCTACCTGACTTGCAGAAACCAGGTTAAGAAGCCCTGTTTCAAAGTCTTGCATGATATGTACTTATATTTAATTGCATACTGAATGAAAATTCAATTTGTCTTGAGAAATTTTTTGAGAAGTTTGCAAGAGTCATTGAGATAATTGGAGGCACCCTACAGCAGCACAGAACTTGAACTTGGACTTGCTGCACTGGTGCCTGATGGCTTTATGGATAAGAGTGAGGGGGGCTATTGATGGCCTTTAATCCCCACCCTTCCCTTCCTGTCTGACAAAATTACATTGCGTGACTTGGCTCAAAGGTGGGCTTGGCTTTTCCCATTATCAGTAATGACTTTTAAATGTATGCAACACCAGAGCACTGGACCAACGCCAGGGTGGATGGAAGAAAAAGAAATAAAAATTAAGAAAAGCTGAAAGAAAACCAACTGCACACAGCCTTTGGGAAATCCATTTGCAGCCACCCAGAGTCAGCGAGTCCATCTGGGTAAAGCCAACATTTCATTCACAGTATGCCGGACAGAGAAAAATGAACGAGGCCCGAGAGCAAGACTAATGATTTAAGAAAAGGCATTTCCAGCATGACAAAGATTTTGATTAGGTTCATTATTTTTTCTGCATAATTTCCACTGGCATTGTAAGACCTTCCACTCGCAGAAGGGTTTTCCTCTGTGTTCCCTTTCAAGGAAAATGAAGGCAGATGTTGACTGCTGGGAGCATGCCAGCGCTCTGTCACAGCAAAGCATTTCCCCAGGAACTGGGGGCGGGGGCGTCGTCAGGAACCTTTCCATATTTCTATGTAACCGCCACCAGCCCCTGTCCCCCAGGTGACAGACAGGCTCTAGGCACGGGCCCCCTTTGGGATCCAGTCGGGATGAAAGCCCAGCAGAGGGGTGGGGGACCATTCTTACCTGGATCATTTTAACTGTCAGAAATTGGACAATGCAAAGGTGAGAGGGGAAGGCTGCCTCGCTGGGCTCAGGTCCAACTGCTGCTTCAAAGCCCACCTGACAGCAAACTCACATCTGAGTCATGGGAACCTTTCTGAAAACTCAGGGAAGGGAAGCTGCGAGGCCTCTGGGGCCCAGTGTCCTGAGGTAGGGCCGAGCCCACCACACGGAGCCCTGGGAAGAGAGAGTATTGACATTAGGGGAGGAACTGAAACGTGCTTGTTCCACTTGAAGATTGGGTTGCACCTTAAATGCATCGTGTCCAAGATGGAGCTCAAGATCTCTTCTTCCTCTGACCTGGTCTTCTCCCAGGAAGTAGTGAAGCCAGAGTCTTCGATGTGATCTTCCTCCTCAGTCCCCAAATCAGCACACAAATTAGGAGATGAAACGACATCTCCTAATTCTCTCCATGTCCCTAGGCCCAGCCCAACCACCGCCATCCTTCTCTAGGAGGCTAGGACCTTGACACCTACTGTGGGCTCATCACTGACCCCCATGTGTCACTCTGCACCCTTTCATCCGTTTTCCTGTAAACCTTTATAAGCAAAGGAGAGAAAATGCATTTGTTGGGTATCCAACTATATTTTAATTCTTTAATTAATCAAGTCGTTTAATACATATGTATTGAGTACTGCTAACGTCCTATCAGCTGTGTTTTAGGCCTGGCAACATGGGACGTGTGGTCATCCCATATTTGGTGGTATTGAGTGTTACCCTGGAACAAGCCCAAAGCTGAGCGTCTCCGTTTCTTAGTAAATGATGAGTCTCAAGCTTAACCATTTTACTTTTTCACTGTAAAGATGAAATATTTCAAACAGAATGAGCAGTTTGGAAAGTAAGAAAGCCAAATACCGACCACCCCAAACAAACACATGCGAACATTTAATCACATTTGCTTTAAACGTTTCTTTACAAAGCTAAGCAAATGCTAGGCTTACTGCTGTAAGTGCCTCTTTGTGCCCCTTCTTCAATCCCCTTCTCCCTTCCTCCGGGTAGTCACTGCCCTCAGTTGATATATTCTTCCTGCTTGTGTTTTAATACCTCATTTACATATGGATGTATTTATAATCTCCCTCTTTGCCTTTGTGAATTTAAAAAATTAGCATAAGTGATATAATGCTCTAAGTATTCTGCAAGTTGCTTTTTAAAATTCAAGCAGTATGTTTAAGAAATGTATCCATGCTGGTAATATCGATCAAGTACATTCATTTTAACTGCTGCATAGTATTCCAGCCTAGAAATCCATCACAGCTTGCCTCTGTGTTTCTCTAGTGAGGGATATTTAGGTGGTTAATGCTTTTTTTCCCTGATGACAAATGACGCTACAGCACACACCTTTCTACCTCTCTCCTTGAGCGCATGTGTGGGGCATTTGTATATGTTCAGTCTTCATCAGATACGGACAGATGGCTTTCTAAACAGGCTGCTTTGTGATGTGGCAGGAAAGTTCTAGAATTGGGGGTCAGATGACCTGGTTCTAGTCTAACTCTGGCACCAACTCAGAGTGTGACCTCAGGCTTCTTCCTTGGAGGGCCTAAGTTTCCTCATCTTTAAGATGAAGTCCTAAACTAGCAGAATTCTACAGTCCTTTCCTTCGGAGCTGGTTAAAAAGGTGTTTTGCAGAAAGATCTCCCCTTGCACTAAAGAAACCTCCCAGAGGTAGGCTGGCTGTAAGCCATAGAGAAGGGTGTGTTGTGGAAGGCACTTGGCACTTTTTGAGCTCCTACCTAGGGCCGGGCACTTTTGGTTTTTGTTTACTTGACTCAGGGAGATTAAATGGCTTGCCCAAGACCGCAGAGCTAAGAATGACCAGAACTGGGACTTGAACCCAGGACCCAGGGATCCCAGAGCCTGAGCTCTGTCTACCATACAAACTGCTCTGGCTTTGCCACAGGGCAAGTCCTTTCCCAACACCCCGATCTGGGTGGTTGAAATGGCATTCTCCTTGGGAGTCCCAATGGGCAGGCCACCAATGCCCAGGGGCCCCTGTCCTGGGCAGGGATGAAGCCCACGCCTTGTTGGAGGAGTGCAGAGCTGAGCCCTTTAGACGTGAGGAGGGGCTAAGAAAGAGCCCTCCTTTGGAGGGAAGACAAGGAACAAGTGGGACCGAGCCAGAGGCTGAGGACATCACAAAAGCATGAACTCTGAAGGCATTTAGACTCTGACTACAGCTGATGAAACAGCGAGGCATCGGCTTCAATAAGAAGCAAATGAAACACCAGCTCCAGTTAATCAGTAAGCACAGCTGCCTGCTTTCCTGCATTCAATTTCAGACTCACATTATGAATTGCCTCCCTGGAGAAACCAACTTCCTCCTCCCCCCGCACGGCCTGGATCCAATAAACCAACTTTTAATAGAGCAGCCTCTTTAAATCAAAGGACGGCAACTTATCTCTGGGTCCTAGCTCTGTGGTGACACAGATTCTCTGAGCTGCCCAAGCTCACTCAAGGTTAGTAATTAAGGCATAATTGAAATGAAATTAATTGCAATAACTGTGTAATTAGCACAGCCATTGATTAAGGGCATTTGAAACGCAGTGTATGCATGAGACATTGATTGCCACGCTTTTTTGATAAATGGAATTGCAATGATATCTTTTGTCGCCCCAGAAGGTCTATTTTTGTGTAATGAATTTCCACAGGAAGGATTGGCATTGAAGCCATCTGATTTCCTGAAATTCAGAGATATAAAGAGAACATTCCAGGCCCCAGTGGTGCTGGGCGCAACTCTTTTGCCCAGAACTTGTGCAGAATCTGTTTCAGGGTGGCCCCCTAGCCACGCGGCATCTTGGTTCCAATGAGAAAAAGGCTCTCGTTCCTTAGGGCAGACCCGGCTCGTGCCAGGGGCACAGCTCGGCCCATGGAGCACGGGCTGAATTTTAACCCTCTCTCTTTCACCCAGCTGGGTACCTCTGTGCAGTGAACAACTTTTACATCCATACACAATAGACTTGGTATCCTCCATGTAGAGGGAGGTGACAGGAAGGCAGAGCCAGACCCTGTTGGCCTGAACCTTGTCTCAGGATCAAAGCCTTGTCTCAGGATCTTGGATGCGCGCCCCTTTCCCCCGGTCACCTTGACTGGTTGGATGCTATGCAGAAATTGCCAGCTGGAATGCTGGGACTGTAGCAGTAGCCGAGAGGGAAGATGGTGGGACTGGGTTAGGTGTGGCCTGGTGGGGTGGGGTGTAATCTGGCCGCAGGACTGAGTGGTGGGTGGTTCATGACTCTAACCACACCACTGGAGGAGGCATGGCGACCTCAGGATCATCAGGCTGGGGTTCATGTGCAGGGGTCAGATGTGGCGAGGGGTGGGTAGGGCCTGCCAGAGGAGTTGGTGGGCAGCAGGGCTGGGGGTTCTCTGGGGTCCCACACTGAGTCCGTGGGCAGGATAGAGTATGTCAGGGCATCTGTCCCAGGCCCTGCCCCTGGACAGGGCTGAGCCCCAGGCTGGGTGACAGGAGGGCTGAAGGTCACGTCTGGTGCTCAGCGATGGGCATTCCTCAGCTTTCTGGGAGAAGAATGGCCGGTCCTGACCGATCCGGAGGCCTTCCCTCTGAGTACGCTTTTCATGCTAAGGAGTTTGTTCATTCAACCATTCAGCCATTCATTCATTCAACCATTCATAGTCAATATTTAGTGAGTGCCTTCTAGGTGCAGGTGCTATGCTAGCTGCTAGGAATGAAGTAGTGGCCCAGTCCCTGCCCTCACGGAGTTCAAGGTTGACTGGGACAGACAGGCTTTAAATAATCACACAGACTTACACATCCCCTTAACTATCCCCTTGATTACGAGGTGGAGCCAGTGCTCTGCAGGTGTGCCGGACGCCGTCTGGTCACCTTTCCAGAGCCACACTCTGCCTTTCTCCAGCCTTCTCTCCACCCTGGAGGCTGATCACTGCAGACTACGTCAGACGGCTCTTCTGTTCTCTGCCGTCAGGTTGGACTGGGCCAATGGGGGGCCTGGCAGGAGACCAGAGGGAGGGAGGAAAATGCAGCTGGGTGTTGATTCCCCCAGGTCACAGGGTGCTGACCGTGTCCGTCAGGGCCTCGGCTGTCCCCGTTGCCCTCAGGTTCTGGCACAGTTTCCTTCCTCCCAGGTCGAGGGGTGTGAACGGTGCTGCGGTGGATAGCTGTGGAGCACTTCGTGTGTCCTTCACCCTGCACGTGGTTTCTCTTTGTACGTGGTCCCTCTTTTAAAGTCCCCTGAGTTACCTCTCCTGTGCCCCTCATCCCCACACTTATACCTGAGAAATACCCATCTGCTTGTTTCTTGGACACAGCTAGCTATTTCATTCCTCCAGGCCTTTGTACATGCTCTATATCCCACCAACAGTCCACACCCCCTCCCCGCCCCCCGCCCTTCTGTGCCTGGAAAACCTCAGTCAATCTGGCAAAATTCAGCTCAGATATATAGGTCACCGCCATCAGGAAAGCCCTTCCCTTCCTGGCCTCGGCTCCTCATGGCCATCAGCCAAGCTGGGCCCCACAGAGGAGGGAGCAGAACCATTGCCAGGCTCTCTAACGTCCTCACAAGGAGCCATTTTTTTTTAGCGTCCTCAGCAGATTTAGAACAAAGTTTGAATTGCATACATGCCCTGGTTGCCATGGTTACTGTAAAGGCATTCTAAATGCAGATGATTATATAATCAGCTGGAATGACTCCTTTGGAAGAAAAAAGTTTTGACCGTCTTCTTGCAGTGAACTCTTTAATGACTCAAGGACTGTGGGTGGTGACTCTGTATGGGATCGCTGTGGAATGATGCACTTGGGCTGCAGGCAGCAGTAAGACTTGCCTTTGAAGTGCCCCATGACACCATCCAGGACAAAGCTCCCCTTCTGTAGATGGGAAAACTGAGGCCCAGAGAGGGGAGGTGACTTTTTCTGAGTTCCTCAGAGAGCTAGAACCTGAAGCAGGACTAGCTGCAGGGTGCCATGGGGGCAGGAGCCCCGAATTGGACCTGAGACGACTGGAATATGAACCTTGGCTCTTGGAGCCTCCGTGTTTAAACTTGTGATGTCACTTGTATTAGTCAGTATAATTAATGCTGGTTGCTGTAACCAACAACTCCAAAATCATCTCAGTGGCTTTTCAACAATAAACGTTTTGTGTTGTGCTTAGGACGCAGTGCAATTGGGCATTTGATGGATACCTCCCGTGTGATGACCAGGGAACCCAGGCTCCTTTCATCTCTTGGATCTGACATCTCAAAGGATTGTGAAGAGCAAGTTACGAAGGACCGCCTTCTGCTAGGTGGACACGTGTGATGACAAGGCTGGTGGATCTATCCATCCCAAGGAGGGAACATGGAAAAAGCTATCCTCCAGCCAGGAATATCTGCTTGGATTGCTACATTTTGGCTGCTAGTTATTACTTAAGCCAAACTTAGCCTACTCTAATAGAAAGGTTAAAGGTCCCTGGAGTAGAGTAAGGAGGTGATTGATCCCCATCCTGGGGACCTATTAAAGCCTTCTGCTTCTGCGTGGCTCTGTCCCTAGCTGCCATGTTGGAACTCACCTTTTAGAGAGGCCAGAAGATCTAGGGAAAGATCAGAATCTTTGAAATCATGCAGGCCTAAATTTTATCTTTGTCCGCATGTCTTGCTAGCCATGGGATCTTGGGCAAGTCATTTACCTTCTCAGAGTTTCCTCATCAAAATAGGGGATAATTAATAAAGATGTAAAGATGAAATGGGCTAGTTATAGAACAGTATTTGCCCATAGTAGATGCTACTATGCTCTTTGTTTCCTTCCTGGTCTGATCTAGAAACATTTTTAGAACCTGGAACCTTACCAACCCCTCAAAACGGGGATCAATTATTCCTCCTGAGGCTTCACCTCTTTTTATCCTCATTTGATAGCTGTACCTAGGGCATATTCTAGAAGAGACACTTTGCCTCCTTAGTATGTCCCTACCACTCCAACTTCCATCCGAGAATGCTGTCGGCCTCCATGGGCTATGGGGGATGGGCTGGTGGACATCTCTTAGAACCCACAGTACCAACCCATGAAGTTTGTTGGAGGCCAGGAGGTGACTGGATTTTATCCTGAGTGCAACCAGAAACCTCTGAAGTATGTTATTACTTGAGAGAAGAATGACTTCATTTTCATTTTAAAAGAGATGCCTTTTCTTTTTTTCTGTTCAGTGGAGGCAAATTGTAGACATGCTGGACTAGAAGCAGAAGACCTGTTAGCATGGAGGTAGTTGTGATGAAGCGAGGTAGACAGATTTAGGAAATACAGAGGGTGCCAGAAAAAATGTATACACATTTTAAGAAAGGAAAAAAACGATTAAAATTGTAATGCTCAACATATACCGATAACAAAAGATGAATGCAAGTCACGTTTGAC